CTAAATGTAATGTTTTCAGGCCAGAAAGATGGCTCAGCAGATAAAGAGATTTTTTTCCCAAGCCTGATTACCTGCATTTGATCCCCAGAACTGATATGGTAGAAGGAAAGAACTAACTCCCTACAAGTTGTTCTCTGACTCCCTCACATGCACTATGGTAAAGATGCAAGCATGTGTTTGCACATACATACACGTGCACATGCACAGACGCATACATGCACATACACACACAAATAACAATACAGGAAAAATAAATAAATGTAAATTCAAAAGGGAAATTAGCAATCAGAGTGAAATTCCTTTCTTAAAAGGTACTCCCTGTGCCAGGACACTCAAGCAGCTCGAGGGAGGAGGATGGTATGTCCTTCCAGGACTCACCCAGCTGACAAAGATATAATAGCTCACCAAACACTCCCAGTCTGCTTTGGCTCAGCTCAAATGCAAGACTAGGAGGGGTACTGCAGAAGCAGAAGCTAGATGATAAATAAAATTATACTCTTCTTGGGTAAGCTTTGCCCCATAATGTTCAGATTAAATCTTACAGTTCAGTGACAGCATCACTTAAGACAGGGAGCTCACTGTAGACAACTGGAAAATTTCCATGCTCCAAACAAAAGCAAAACAAGGTCAAGCAAAACCATTTGACCCCATCTTACTATGGTATTCAGGTTTTAATGTCCACTACAGGGAAATTTGGGGTAACACTACTCACAAAGAGAATGCTGACTAGTTCATTGCTTCAATAGTGTTTGTCAAATACCTAAACAAATACTATGTGCAATTACTGATTAACTGTCAAAATACTCATTAAAATGGAAATTCCATGAAGGCCAACATTGTCTTGTCCTTGTCATGGACAGAGCTTCCTCCCACTCAGGGAGAAAAAGGCATTGAGGAAGAAATTAGAGAACAGCTTTTAAACATAAATGCAATGGATTCTGTAAGGAGTGTGTCTGATGAAGTCAGAGACAACTTCTGCTGCTGGGACTGAGCGAAGATCTGAGAGACACAGAGGGCAAAGAAGCCTTCTGGTCATGGAAAGGAACCAAGGCCTGGAACAGAGAGCACTGGGGGAAAAGAAAGATGGTCAAGGCTGCCAGAACCTAGACACGAGGCTGGTGAATGGCAAGAAGGGATGGCAGGGGCAGAGACAGGAAATACTGAAAAATCCTCTAAGCAGTGTGGTCTTCAACATCAAAGGAAGAGATAGTTATTAGAAAGCCCTCAACAGGGGGCAACAGGTTCGAAGTTCCATTTTTGAAAGGTGGGCATTTGATCTTGTAAGAGAAAATGGGCTGATTAATTAATTTGGGGAGAAACAATTACAGGATACTTTGGTGGTTTAGGCAGGACATGATACTAGTGTGGACTAGGATGATCAAGAGAGGGAGAAATAGGCCAGGGTTATAACACTGTAGGAATGACTTTTATAAAATGTGCAGCATCTGGAATAATGTCTTCTAATTAACTTCACAACCAAAAAGCTAATACAAGCTCACTGAATCGTGTACTGTTTTGACCTAAGTACCTGACCCTGATTATTCAGAACCTCAGTTTGCTGCTTCACTGAAAGAGGGTGAATAAATATGGGTATGCCTGAGAATTAACACTGAAAGAGGCACATCTTCATTGAAAACAACGAAGATTGGGAAGAATTGCTTGACGTTTCTGTATGAGATGTTTTAGGCCTGGGGTTGAAAGGGCAAGATTGACAAAATAAATTGGATAGAAGATTGTAGTTCCCCAATAGTGGGAGAAATGGTTTTGAATAAAATTTTGGCTGAGGTCTGACACAACAGCACAGTTCCAGGATAAATCTGTGGGAACAGGTGCCCTCTGACTTCAGGCCCACTCTTAAAAACTAGAGTTCAGTCAGGCTATTTATTCAGGTATAATTCTAATGTGGCATAGTAACAAAACTCCCTGGTTTTGTAAGTTATTCATAGTAAGAATAACTCCCTGGTTTCTGGATGGTGAACTATTCTAGCAGCTATTCACCAAAGAAGTCAAACTTTTGTAAGAGGGATGAAAAATTGGACAACAGCATCTACTCACAGGAATACCAGTCTACAATGGACAATGCTTCCCCTCCCCTTGGGTGGATTAGCTCATCTATTCCTAACTGCAGTCCTAAGAAACCAGTTCTTTGTATTTCTTTTCTCATGTTTTCTTTATTTTTTAAAACTTGCATTTTGTCCTAAGACCATGACTAAGGATAGAAAGTTTCTTGCAGGATGTCCTTCATTTTTTTGAGACAAGAAAAGCTGAAACCCAGAAAGGCTTATTTTTGCCAATATCCAAGCCAAAAGTTGGCAGAGCTGAGATTTAAACTTAAAGCTCTCAAATTCTAAAGCAGGTGATTTTTAGTGACTAATTCTTTTTACTGCAATTTTTTATTTTTTGAGAATTTCATAAATGAGTCTTGTATTTGCATCATTTCCCCTCTTTCCCCTTCCAACTCCTCATGTGTCCCCCACTCCTTCTTGAATTCATTCCTTCTCTCCTTTTTTTTTTTTTTTTTTTTTTTTTTTTTTTTTTTTTTTTTGTTGTTGTTGTTACTGCTGTTTTGAGACGGGGTCTTACTCTGTAGCCCTGCCTGACCTGGAATTCACTAGGTAAACCAAGCTGACCTTGAAATCACAGAGATCTGCTTACCTTTTCCTCCCATGTACTGGGATTAAAGGCCTGTACCTCCACGTTTGGTGATCTCTTCTTCTTTAATTATTATTGTTACGGAAATACCTATATATGTATATGCGCATTTATGTATAAGCATACACACACACACACACACACACACACACACACAGAGACAGACACATGCTTATGAATGGAATTGAATAACCTGTTAGAGAACTTGTCTCTGGAGAAAGCTGATTTTTAGCAGCCATTGATTGCATGTAGGCTCTTCTAGAGGGGACGCCTTCTGAAACTTCTCCTGCCCACACTGCTATGTCAATTGGAATGGTCATTATGCAGGTCATATTTACACAACTTTCATTGTTTTAGTATGCATGCCTTGTTTACAAGACACTGTCTCACAGTTGGCATCCTGTCCCTCTAGCTCTATCATCTTTCTGCCCCCTCTTCTGTGATATTCCCTGAGCCTTAAATGCAGGGTTTGCACTATAGAGGTACCAGTTGGAGCCAGGCTCTTCACAGCCATTTATTCTCTGCACTTTGATTAGCCTTAGAATTGACCAATTCTTACCACTTCGTGACAACTTGGGCCTCATTAGGGAAATTCTCATGATTTCAAAAGAGCTTGAGCTTTAATATGGAAGTCTAAAGCCAAATCTCCACAGGGGACCTCCAGCTCTTCCCTCAAGAGTCATCAGAGAACATGCTCTACATGAGACAGAAGAAACTTCTTTTGCTTACCTCCAGCTTCTGTCCCAGCCCTGTTTTGTCCTAAGTTCGTGTCATACATCTAGTCTTACTGGGCATTTTAGCAGTGATCCTAACTGGGTTACTCTGTAGAATTTCCATGGATTTTCTACTTCCTCAGATTTCATTTTCCATAATGTGAAAATTTACAGCAGTATATAATGTCTTTAAAAAAGTATTTCATGAACTGAAGGCCCATTGTTGTAAACATACAACTTTCAAATTATGACACACGGTGATCTTGCTGCTGACCAACACTTCAATTCTGCATGTCTTGCTGGCTGTACAGCAGAGCCTCATTATATGTGCACATAACCTCACACTTCAACTTGGTGGAGAGACAGAGAAAGAGCATTTCAACAGAGCAGGCCATCATATCTGCCATTCAATTGATGCTTCATGAGACAGGAGATGAAGCTGCTGTTCCTAGGGACCAGATGAGGAATACTCCAAGACACCCATCATTTTACAGTTTAAAGGTAAATGTTTTAGCCATACCACAATGTCTAATATCAATGGCCTATTTTACTAGGCCTTAATCAAAGAAGTACATCTCCCTCAAGCTAGGGAAAGCAGGTCTGTAGACAGCTTAAGAAACACTAAGAGACTGATAACCCAGTGTCATGAAATTTTCACCCTGTACTTTCCTTTGGATTCTAACCCCAGAGATGTGACTACCAACTAACAGCATATGTTCCTGGATCATCTGAACTTTAAACCACATTCCATAAATGGCCAGCAATGGGAAAACAGAAAAGGCTGAAGAGGTCATGAGCATATACCTTCAATAAGTGAGGCAGAGGTGGGAATCACTAGGGCTCCTTTCTAAAGAGTGAAGAAAAGGAGCAAAATTCGCAATGTGGATGAAATGCCAGGCCAGATCCAAAACCAAGCAATTATTGGAGATTGTGTTATCAATTTTAACTTTCTAGGAAAGAATTCCCACAACCACATGCATTTAGCTAGACCTTTTTATATAGACCTGTATAAAAAGGAAAAAGTTGTTTTTAAACAAGGATGCTATCATTCAGATCGGGCTTGGTGCCCCTTGGGCAGATGCATTAATTCCTTTTTTACATTTATTTTATTATTTATTTATCCGTATTTGTATGTGTCTCTGTGTGTATATGATGTACATAGGCACATTTATGCATTAGATCCCCTGGAGCTGGAGTTAAAGACAATTATGACCCATCTGACATGGGTGCTGGGAACTGAATTCAGGGCCTCTACAAGAGCAGCAAGCCCTCATAACACAGGCATCTTTCTTGTCCAGATGCACTAATTCTTGCCACTTGGGTCCCTTAGAATTTTGTTCCTGCTATCAGTATAAAATTCAAAGTAAACTTAAATGCTGATATCTATTGCTATCTAGACTATAAGCTTGTAAGGAAGTTCTAGGTCTCTGGGCCGGCTGCACCTTTGAGAGCACCTGGCTGAGGACTACTCCATAAGCACTTCAGGGGTACAAGAATTACTGAATGACTGCATTTGCTTCTCTGAGAAACAAATGTGCTTTTCTTGTAAAGAGTTCGGAAAGAAAGATACTATACAATATCCAACCTGGTCACTGCCTCCAGTGTACTCCACTCTGCAGGTAGCTCTGTTCTTACCTATCCAGTGAAATGCAGCACAGGTGAAAAATTGATGCTGTGGTGAGCAGGACATCCAGAGAGGTCCGGACCAGACAAAACATCTCCCCATAAATCCAGATGTCTTGAACCAGCTCAATGGCACCAAAGGGCATCACCAACACCGAAACCAGCAGATCGGCAAAGGCAAGAGATACAATGAAATAATTGGTTTTTATTTTCCTGTGAGTGAAAAGGTATAGTGGGTGGCAGGGAGGAGGATGAGGGAATGAAGGTAGGGAAAAAAATCAAGAAAAGAATCAGGAAAAGGGAAGGGAAGGAAAGAAGGAAAGAGGGAAGGACAGAAAAGGAAAGTCATACATTAAGTACACACCCTGAGACTCAGCTTCCCCTTCTGTATGATGGCTGAGAAGATTCTTTGTGGTCCAGCCTCTTGTGACTTCTCCAGAGCCCCCTCATGTTAAAATACCTCTTTTCCTCTTTATTCTGGCCCTTTTGGCCTGAATGTGGTCTACCGTGAATCCAGAATCCTCCTGAGGCTCTCTGCATGACTGAACTCTCTTCCACCTACTCTTCTAGTTATGGTCCACTCTGGCTTTGGTCACTGGTTGAACAGCCACAGGGAACCTCTCAAGGTGCTCCCCTTCATCATTCTAAGCTCTCAGACTGGCCTCTGATGCCCTATACGTGTGGCCTTGATGAGAGCTGTGCTTTTGTGCTCCATCTACACATCACTTATTTGGTATGCGTCTTGCTTAGGGAGGAATAATACCTGTGTCTCATACCCTTTATTGTCCAGTGTTTCTTAATCTGGTCTACATACTAGAAACACCTGGTGAATTTTAGCCTACATCAGTGCCCAGGGCTCAAGGACCCTGAGTGGATAACATCCCTCTCTCCAAAAGATTGCTAGGTGAGATACAGGATGTCCAATAAAATTTGGATTTTAGCAATGACTAATATATATATATATATATATATATATCCAAAATATTGCATGGCACATAACAATACCATACAATGGTATTTTGGAAAACATTTGAGGTGATTCTAATTGTAGCTAGGGTTGAGGTTGATGAAGTACAAAATGCAAAAGATCCAGGTTGCTCCCTAGATCAATTGTCAACCACCCTTACCCTGGACCACCGAAAAAAATCAAGCTGTATTTTGTAGTTACCACATTATTTAAACAAATGCAATATGGCATAGGCAGACAGGTTAGAAGTCCACCAAACACTCTCTCTGGTTATGTTAGGATGGTAGGATTACATGTAAATTTCCCCTTTTCTATTTTTCAAAACATGTTCATATGAATATTTTCCTTCATAATTTTAGATGAAAAAGGAAACATTCAGAGCTAGTTCTCCAAGGAGAGCTCAGAAATCCAGCCACGCTTCCTAAGCAGTTCCCTTGTGCTACTCACCTGAGCTGTCTGTCCCTGCATACAGCCACCATAACCAGCAGGTTGCCCAGGATGGCCATCAGGATAATCGCTGAGAGAAATGTGAGCAGCACAACCTTCTCCACTGACCCAAAACCCTTGTTGGAACTGGAAGACACGGGCACACAAAACACAGAATACTGAAGGGACACAAGAAATGTCATTATCTGATCCTCCTCCACCTTCAGGAAGGCAACTTTGCTATCAGTCAGCAGCAGCAACATGTGCTGTGCACCTTACGCATACCAAGGTCTGCACCCAGCCTGGTGGACTACCTCAGCTGACTCCTATATAATGGGAGGAAAAGGTCTGGAGAAGTGAACTTACTAGACTTAGAATGCATTGTTTTTCTTCATCAAAGAACTTATGGCTTTCCTTCAGAGACCTCAACTTAGCTAGTACTCAGGGATTGTTCGATTGATACCTGTTTTGCAAACTTGGCTCATCTACATTTGCAAGCACCAGAAGAAAGGACCTCAGTTGTTTTATTCATTGATGTGTGTTTGATGTGTCACTCGCATTTATCAGATGAATGAAAGACGATTTGGATGGATGACTGGCAGTAACTGTAACCAGAGTCTATGTAAACACAAGAGTCACTGTTCTCAGTACCCTGTTCTGGCTTGTGCAGAAACAGTGTTTTACAGGTAGACTGTCTAGGGAGATACAGCCATACCCCAAAGGTATTCTTGCGATAGTTCACTTGGAAAATGACTTCAGGTTCTGTGAAGTGCACAGGAGGGGAGGTCAGGGCCTTCTTCTACTTCCTGAACCACACTTGCTTTTCTGCAAGTCACTTTCATGATTCACATTTATGTTCTTGTCAATTTCAGAATCTGGTTTGATTATAAATTCTTCCTTAAGAGTATAAGCTTGGAATTTTGCTTTATCAACCTGGAGTGAGTATCTGCATCAATGAAAGCACAGTATCTGCAGCTTACCTAGAAACTGTAGGAAGAAATATTTTTGTAAGGTCACCAAAGATTCTTTCTAAGAAGTTTGAGGGACTGGAGAGATGACTCAGTGGTCAAGGACACTGGCTGCTCTTTCAGAGAACCTGAGTTCTGTTCCCAGCACCCACATGGTGGCTAACACTTATCTGTAACTCTAGTTCCAGGGGATTCAAAGCCCTCTTCCGATCTCCACCAGCACTGCACACACGTGGTGTACTTAAATACATGCGGAGGAAACACACATACATATAAAATTATTAGTTAATTAAAAGAAGCTTGAAAGGATCTTTAAACTGTCAGATCCAAACTTCAGTTTCCTCTTTTCCCTTCAAGAGAAAATAGGGGGAAGAATCGTTAGATCCTGTTAGTGGAAAGTTTGGGAATCAAGAATCAAGAATCATCTCTTTACTGGGCTTCATTGAAAAATCAAGATGGGCATTGACCCCTAATGGACAGAATTGGCTCAGTCTTGACTTTGGCCTAATTTAAAACTTCTTCCTTTAGGCAAGCACAGGAGAGTGTCAACAGGTATAAAGAGCCATTCTTATTATAGTTGGAGAATGAGAAAGCCCCTCCACTCTACTGAGAAGTCTTTCTTTAGATTGACTGAAATGTTTAGGACTGGAGTTCAAATGAAAAGGAAAGGTTCCTTCATCCAAATACCTTTTTACACTTAAGCTCCAGCCTTCAAGAGAAGAAGTACTAGATAGGGAAGACTTAGCTTGGTGAGCAAAATAGGGCAATCTAGCCACCAAAACCCAATTTGACCTTAGGCCATGTTACACTGAGGTGAAGTGTCTGACAAAGAGGCTGACAGAGTTGTTTTGCCCCTTGTATTCCTTTAGAAGCTCTAACTCAGAACCCTTCTGAAACTTGCTCCTCCTTCATGGCTCTCTATTTAATGTCTATTCTTCCCATAATGCACCTTCAGTGTCTGGCTGCCTTTTGTCATTCAGACCCCTGATTAAATTCAACCCTTATTTAATGTGCAACAGCCAACCAGTATTTTTCATCCTTTTGTGTTGACTATATGCAATGACAACTCATTACTTCCGTAACTCACCCTCCCAGATTGACTTTGCTTATCTTGTTCACTCTAATTTTCAGTGCCTGGCACAATATCTATTCTGTATTATGTAGGTATATGTAATACATAATAATCAGCTTATTTGCTAATTGGGTGAAAGACATATATTCAATAAGGCAAGGCATAGTCTGCAATGTCTTTCAAGATAGGTTGAAAGTATATAGGAAATTTTACCTAGAAAAACAAAGGTACAGAGATAAGATTTTTTAAAATAAGCTGTCCTACATAGCTATAGATTCTTTTAATTGAATTTTTCCAATTTTCATAAATATATTTGATGGCATTTAGATCTCTTCCCCTATCCACACCTCTTCTCACTGCCCCTGCCAAATTTAATGTACTCATATAGATAGATATAGATATAGATATAGATATAGATATAGATAAATGAGCTAATGAAGTCTGATTTTTGTCCCCAAGTGTCCTCCAGTGTGGGTCCATCCATTGGGCCCACCAAGAGTTCCATCCCTGTAATGCAGTTTTTCCCCATCTCAGCAGCCATCAATTGCCAAAAGTTCCTTAGGTTGGGGGTTGGTATTTTTTTTGTTTGTTTGTTTTAACCAAGTTCCCTATGTCTAAGTTGGGATTTTCCCTGGTTTGAACTTGCATAGGACTTGTGAATGCTGTCACCATTAGTGAGAGTTGATATGAGTGACTGACCAGCTGTATGGAACACTGCTTTTTTGTGATCATCCACCCCCTGTGGCTCTTAAAATCTTTCTGCCTCCTCTTCTGAAATGATCCCTGAGTCCTCGGAGGCAGAGGTTTGAAATAGGTTTTCCTATTCACAGATAAGCACTTTGAGGCCTCTTGTTCTCTGCACACTGGCCAATTGTGGGTTTCTGTATTAATCACCATCTGCTGCATAAAGGAACTTCTCTGGTGAGAAGTGAGAGATACATTCATTTTATGTGTGGAGATTGCATGAAAGATGTATCACTTAGGGTTAAACATCTCAGAGACATTTATTATCTACATTTCACCATTTCTAGAACTCTGTAATAGCCCCTATCTATTGTAAAGAAGAAGCTTCTTTAATGAGGGGTGAAGTGTATATTTGTCTGTAAATATGAGGATACATATTTGGAATAAAGTAAGAAATTAGATTGGTCTAGGGATGTGGCAAAAGTAGTTTATTTTTAGGATCTATGACCTCTCCATTCATGTGCATTTGCCTATGTTTACAGGAAGTGTATATCCTGATATAACACAGGAGCCAGGAAAAATGTAAGGAACCATGGGGAAAGGGCAAGAAGGAGCTCTAGAGAAGGAGATAGGCTAGTAGTAGGCAGATGTCATTAACAGGGAAAAATGGAAAAGAGGAGTTCATTAACTGGGGAGGGTGTAGGGAGAGTTACACAAGGGGAGTGAGAAGAGAAATAAATAAAGCTTAGATGCTGTTGAGATAGAGCTCACTAACCTGAAGCTTGCCATTTTTGCTAGACCTGCGTCTTTCCTCCAGTGCTAGGCACACCACCATGGCCAGCTTTCACGTGGGTGTTGGAAGTCTGAACTTAGGTCCTCATGCATTCACAGCAAACAATTTACCCAATGAGCCATTTCTTTAGCCCCCTAGGCTGCCACATCTTATGCCAAACAAAATATGTGATTAAGTAAGATAATGAATAGGTTTCAGCAGTAATTTCCAACCCAAGCTGCATGTTGAAATCACATAGGGAGCTTTAGAAAATGCTGATGTCAAGGTTGGGGAGATGGTTTGTTGGTAAAGGGCCTGCCACGCAAGTAAGAGAACCTAAGTTCAGATCCTCAGCACCTACATAAATGCTGGGTGTGGTCATTTGCCTCTGTTACCTTAGGGCTGGGGGTAGGGGACAGTGGCTAGGAAGTCTAGTCAATCAGTGAATTGTGGGTTCAGTAAGAGACCCTGTCTTAAAAATAAGGTAGGAAAAGACAGAAGAAGACACTTGTCAACCTTTGGTCTACACACACACATGCAAACGTGTATATGCTTCCATGTATGCTTGTACACAAACACACACATATACTACACACAATTTTTTTTAAATGCCGATGCTGTGACCCCTTCCTCAAAGACACTGATTTAATTGGTCTACTTTGCAATCTGAATATCAGAACTTTTTGAAGTTCCCACGTGATTCTGATTTATAACCTCCTCACTGAAGGGTGATATATTAGATGGTAGGAATACTCTAATACTAAGGATGGTTTGCAATGGCTTCTTGGAATTACATAGTGTCTATTTATATTTTGAGCATTTTTATTGAGCTGTTTGAATTCTTATTATCAAGATGTAAGAATTCTTTATAAGCTATTGAGATGGCTCAACAAAAGGCTGATGATGACCTAAGTGGCATCTTCAGATTCTGTATGGTAGGAGGAGAGGACCGACTCCCACAAGTTGTCCTCTGACTTCCACGTGTGAGTAATAGTATGTATGCCCCCATGCACATAAGTAAGAAAATAAATAGGTGTAAAAAAGTTAAAAATGGAGTTGTTTTGAAGGCCTGACACCAAAAGCATTTAAGAATACCTAGCTTGGGAACTGGAGAGTTGGCTCAGTGGTTGAGAACACTGGCTGTTCTTGCAAAGGACCCAAGCTTTGTTCCCAGCACCCACACGGTGGATAACAACTGTTGTAACTCTAGTTCCAGGAGATCCAACACCCTCTTCCGGCCCCCATGGATATTGCACCCATGTGATACACTTACATACATGCAGGTAAAGCACTCATACACGTAAAACAAAAATAAATAAAGTATGCCTGGATACAAAGAGAGACTGCTGTACAGTCATTAGAATAACTAAAATAAAACATAACAACATAAACAAATAAAACCAAAAGATAACAAATGTTACCAGAAATGTGGGGAAATTGAAATCTACTTATATGTCTGATGGGAATGTAAACAGCTTAATTGCTTCTTAAAATGAGCACATGACCCCAAAATTCAATCCTAAGTACATATTCAAAAGAATACAGATACCTTTCTACCAACATTCACAGCATCATTCATAATATTCATAAGAGCTCAAAGGTAGAACTAATCCAGTGCTTTATGCCCATTGAGCAGAATGTGAACACACAC